GGGTTCAGGCCTAATAAAAATATTAATGATGCTATTATCCACATGCTAGAACATATTTATACAGCAATAGAGAAAAAAGAAGTCCCACTGGGGATTTTCATTGACTTACGTAAAGCTTTCGATACAGTTGACCATGACTTGATCCACATAAAATTGTCGCACTATGGTATAAGAGGGCACTCCCTCAACTACCTCAAGTCTTACCTCAGCAACAGAAGGCAATATGTGTACACAAATGAGGCAAACTCTTCCGCACAGCCAATTACAGTTGGTGTCCCACAGGGAAGTGTCCTAGGCCCTCTTCTCTTTCTCATATACATAAATGACCTACCAAATGCATCGCAACTACTCAAACCCACACTATTTGCAGATGGCACTACATACGTCTACTCTCACCCGAGCCCAGTCATGCTAGCCAATACTGTAAATACCGAATAACAGAAAATATCAACCAGGATGAGGACCAACAAACTTACTCTAAACATTGACAAAACCTACTACATTCAGTTTGGTAACAGAGCTGCAGATGTGTCTCTTAACATAATGATAAATGGATCACCTATCACAAAACTCACAGAGGGAAAATTCCTAGGAATCCACCTTGATAATAGACTCAAATTTCAAACACATATACAACAAATTTCTAAAAAAAATTCCAAGACCGTAGGCATACTATCGAAGATACGGTACTACGTTCCACAGTCAGCCCTCCTGGCCCTATATCACTCACTTATTTACCCCTATCTCACCTATGGAATTTGTGCATGGGGCTCAACAACAATAAACCATCTCAGACCACTAATCACCCAACAAAAAGCTTTAATCAGAATTATAACAAATTCCCACTACAGACAGCACACTCCACCAATATTCAAAACTCTAAACCTACTCACCATACAAAACATCCATACTTATTACTGCACCTACTACATACATAGAACATTTAACTATGACATAAACCCTCCCCTCAAACATCTCCTTACCAACCTCAACAGAACACATGACCATAACACAAGGCACAGATCACTCTTTGATGTTCCTCGTGTCCATCTCACGCTATGCAAAAACTCAATGCACATAAAAGGCCCTAAAATCTGGAATTCATTACCTGTGAATATAAAAGAAACACTGTCTGTTTATAAATTCAAGTCTCTTCTCAAAAATCACTTACTCTCCCTCAACTAAATAAATACTGAATAATTGTATCTCATAAATTGTATCTCATATATGTCTCATTATTGTATCTCATAAATGTCAACCTGTGACTCAATCAAACTTTATTTTTTAATTACATTACCTAACAGAATACTCCATTCTACTGATTACACAGCAACACATTAAATGACCATATGACCTGTCTTTGTAATTCTCATTTGTACTAAATTTTTATCTGTTTTACAATAATTTTTACTATTGAATGTATCATTGCTTAGTTAATCTTAAGTTAATTTTAAGCCTGCCCATAATGTTCTGCATACAAGGGGCTTTGGCATGTTGCACTTTAAAAATTAAATTCCTTGTACTTCTCTGTATCATGTTCAAATAAATAAATAAATAAATAAATAAATTAATAAATACTGATTGTACAGCAATGCATGCAACCATACGACCTGTTTTTGTAATGCTCATTTGTGCTTAATTGTTATCTGTTTACAATAATGTTTTACCACTGAATACTTCATTGCTTAGTTAATCTTAAGTTAATTTTAAGCCTGCCCATAATGTTCTGCATTCAAGTGGCTTTGGCATGCTGCATTTAACTGTATTCTTTTGTACTTCACTGTATCATGTTCAAATAAATAAATAAATAAATAAATAAATGCCTAGGTGAAAATATGGATGTTTATGCCATAGTTCTACATAAACAAAATCGTTTATTTTATATTTTATTTGTATGTGTAATATATTAAAATTGCGAGTTGATGAATCATACACGTATGTAATATCTGGGTATCTTTATTTTGTGGACGTTTCTCCAAGCAGTGGTTTTTATGGGTCCTACACAGATGACAGCAAGGAAATGAGTGAGCTACTCAAGTCCCAATATGACTCAGTTTTTAGCAAGCCGCTAACCAGACTGAGAGTCGAAGATCAAAATCAATTTTTTATGGGAGAGCCACAGAATTTGGTTAACACAAGCCTATCCGATGTTATCCTGACGCCAAATGACTTCGAACAGGCGATAAATGACATGCCCATGCTTTTGCCCCAGGGCCAGACTCATGGAACTCCGTGTTCATCAAGAACTGCAAGAAGCCCCTATCACGAGCCTTTTCCATCCTATGGAGAGGGAGCATGGACACGGGGGTCGTCCCACAGTTACTAAAAACAACAGACATAGCCCCACTCCACAAAGGGGGCAGTAAAGCAACAGCAAAGAACTACAGACCGATAGCACTAACATCCCATATCATAAAAATCTTTGAAAGGGTCCTAAGAAGCAAGATCACCACCCATCTAGAAACCCATCAGTTACACAACCAAGGACAACATGGGTTTAGAACAGGTCGCTCCTGTCTGTCTCAACTATTGGATCACTACGACAAGGTCCTAGATGCACTAGAAGACAAAAAGAATGCAGATGTAATATATACAGACTTTGCAAAAGCCTTCGACAAGTGTGACCATGGCGTAATAGCGCACAAAATGAGTGCTGGAGAGTTGACCTGGAGTTTACCTGGAGAGAGTTCCGGGGGTCAACGCCCCCGCGGCCCGGTCTGTGACCAGGCCTCCTGGTGGATCAGAGCCTGATCAACCAGGCTGTTGCTGCTGGCTGCACGCAAACCAACGTACGAGCCACAGCCCGGCTGATCAGGAACTGACTTTAGGTGCTTGTCCAGTGCCAGCTTGAAGACTGCCAGGGGTCTGTTGGTAATCCCCCTTATGTGTGCTGGGAGGCAGTTGAACAGTCTCGGGCCCCTGACACTTATTGTATGGTCTCTTAACGTGCTAGTGACACCCCTGCTTTTCATTGGGGGGATGGTGCATCGTCTGCCAAGTCTTTTGCTTTCGTAGTGAGTGATTTTCGTGTGCAAGTTCGGTACTAGTCCCTCTAGGATTTTCCAGGTGTATATAATCATGTATCTCTCCCTCCTGCGTTCCAGGGAATACAGGTTTAGGAACCTCAAGCGCTCCCAGTAATTGAGGTGTTTTATCTCCGTTATGCGCGCCGTGAAAGTTCTCTGTACATTTTCTAGGTCGGCAATTTCACCTGCCTTGAAAGGTGCTGTTAGTGTGCAACAATATTCCAGCCTAGATAGAACAAGTGACCTGAAGAGTGTCATCATGGGCTTGGCCTCCCTAGTTTTGAAGGTTCTCATTATCCATCCTGTCATTTTTCTAGCAGATGCGATTGATACAATGTTATGGTCCTTGAAGGTGAGATCCTCCGACATGATCACTCCCAGGTCTTTGACGTTGGTGTTTCGCTCTATTTTGTGGCCAGAATTTGTTTTGTACTCTGAAGATTTAATTTCCTCATGTTTACCATATCTGAGTAATTGAAATTTCTCATCGTTGAACTTCATATTGTTTTCTGCAGCCCACTGAAAGATTTGGTTGATGTCCGCCTGGAGCCTTGCAGTGTCTGCAATGGAAGACACTGTCATGCAGATTCGGGTGTCATCTGCAAAGGAAGACACGGTGCTGTGGCTGACATCCTTGTCTGTGTCGGATATGAGGATGAGGAACAAGATGGGAGCGAGTACTGTGCCTTGTGGAACAGAACTTTTCACCGTAGCTGCCTCGGACTTTACTCTGTTGACGACTACTCTCTGTGTTCTGTTAGTGCTAAAGGAATAACAGGAAAAGTTGGTCGATGGATCTATAATTTCCTCACTAACAGAACACAGAGAGTAGTAGTCAACAGAGTAAAGTCCGAGGCAGCTACGGTGAAAAGCTCTGTTCCACAAGGCACAGTACTCGCTCCCATCTTGTTCCTCATCCTCATATCCGACATAGACAAGGATGTCAGCCACAGCACCGTGTCTTCCTTTGCAGATGACACCCGAATCTGCATGACAGTGTCTTCCATTGCAGACACTGCAAGGCTCCAGGCGGACATCAACCAAATCTTTCAGTGGGCTGCAGAAAACAATATGAAGTTCAACGATGAGAAATTTCAATTACTCAGATATGGTAAACATGAGGAAATTAATCTTCATCAGAGTACAAAACAAATTCTGGCCACAAAATAGAGCGAAACACCAACGTCAAAGACCTGGGAGTGATCATGTTGGAGGATCTCACCTTCAAGGACCATAACATTGTATCGATCGCATCTGCTAGAAAAATGACAGGATGGATAATGAGAACCTTCAAAACGAGGGATGCCAAGCCCATGATGACACTCTTCAGGTCACTTGTTCTATCTAGGCTGGAATATTGCTGCACACTAACAGCACCTTTCAAGGCAGGTGAAATTGCCGACCTAGAAAATGTACAGAGAACTTTCACGGTGCGCATAACGGAGATAAAACACCTCAATTACTGGGAGCGCTTGAGGTTCCTAAACCTGTATTCCCTGGAACGCAGGAGGGAGAGATACATGATTATGTACACCTGGAAAATCCTAGAGGGACTAGTACCGAACTTGCACACGAAAATCACTCACTACGAAAGCAAAAGACTTGGCAGACGATGCACCATCCCCCCAATGAAAAGCAGGGGTGTCACTAGCACGTTAAGAGACCATACAATAAGTGTCAGGGGCCCGAGACTGTTCAACTGCCTCCCAGCACACATAAGAGGGATTACCAACAGACCCCTGGCAGTCTTCAAGCTGGCACTGGACAAGCACCTAAAGTCAGTTCCTGATCAGCCGGGCTGTGGCTCGTACGTTGGCTTGCGTGCAGCCAGCAGCAACAGCCTGGTTGATCAGGCTCTGATCCACCAGGAGGCCTGGTCACAGACCGGGCCGCGGGGGCGTTGACCCCCGGAACTCTCTCCAGGTAAACTCCAGTACAATACAGAGACATGCACGGAAGGTAATCAATCCTTCATTATTATTATAATCAAGGGGAAACGCTAAACCCGTAGGATTATACAGCGCCTGGGGGGGAATGGGAAGGCATTCAGGCTTAATTCGGGGAACTGGAGCACAGATCCAATTCCCTAAATCAAGAGCCCCTCACCAACATCAAGAAACCTTCCCTGAGGGGAATCAATCCTCCAGCCTTGCAGAATAACACACTGAGGACTGTAGCTTGTAGATGAGGTAATCTGTCCCTCTACCTTGGACATGTATATTGTACCTCCCCCTGAATGAATCTAAAAATATCGAATACCCAGATGTTACACATGTGTCAAATTCGTCAACTTGTCGGCATTATACCTTTGGTGTAATAAACTTAATGTAAGTTCATTAAAATTAGTGTTTACGTTTACATGTGTGTTATAGCTATCATCTCTTGAGATCCAGAGACAGAAGGTACTCACGAATATCTAGGACTGGACAGTAATGTACATCAAAGGGGAATATTGTTTAACATGTAATGACTTCTTTTTCATATAAATGGTTGAGAACTATTGCGTTTTCAATTTTATAGTTTGATCTAAATTTATGTGAGTTTTTATAAGCATATATTTACCATTTTGTTTTGTTGTAATGTGCTCCAAAAAAGTTTTCCTGAAATTTCTTCTGGTCTTGTATGTTGTCCAGAGTGGCATAATGTCAGAACCTTCTGAGGCATAAGTGCATTCATCCTGCACAAGTTCTAAAGGATCAGATAATGGCAAAATAACCTGGTTGTCTGGATAAAAATAATTATCAAGTGAGTTGTAAGCATTCTTGGCTTCATTAGCATTTTAAGAGAATGGATTGAGGGTGAATATGTCGCAATTTCACGCTAGATTTTGTGCTAGTCTTGAGTAATTATTTCCTCGTCTCAGCATCATTCTAAGTTGTAACACTTATTAATAAAAACATTTTATATATAGTTTTATCATATTACATAAAGGGACTATAATTATCGACAACTACTCGGCGGAACGCGAGTGTTAGTAAGTAAGTAAGTTTATTCAGGTATACACAAATACAGTTACATAGAATTATCATACATAGCAGCATATGTGTAGAGAACCTAGGATAACCCAAAAAAGTCAGAGTGACAAAATATACAACCTATGTACAACACATTTAAGATATTTTGGTGTGAAATTTTTATTATGGGAAACATTAGTGACTGCATTTATTTTGGTTGTGCATCAGCTTTGATCCAGTCAAAGCAGAATTGGTACACTAATATTACAACTCTTGCTATCATCTAGAGTAGTAGAAACTACTAAGCAAGCTGCATGTATCATCTTAAAGAAGAGTAAGGTTAAGTTATATTAGGTTATTTTAGGTTGAGTTAAGTGGGTTTTGTTTGCTCATTTTCTCGTGCAAAGGGTAAAAAAAAATCTCGAATGCAAAACAAACTTAATGTTGTACAAGTCAAACTATAATTCATTAGACTCACGAAATCGTAATGACACGATTGCAAATAAACCATACCACGGGCGGGACTTGAACCCGCGGTCAGAGAGTCTCAAAACTCCAGACCGTCGCGTTAGCCACTGTACCAGCTAGCCACAATAAAATTCGTCCAACCAGGTATATTTCTACACCATAGGAAGGTTAGCACAGGCACCACTGTGACCACAAATGCAAGTTTTTACAGACGAATCTCCAGCTAGAGTGGCCGTGACAAACTCTAGCTCAAGTCCCCTCACTGCCGTCAACATGATTTCGTGAGTCATGTTGACGGTAGTGAGGGGACTGGAGCTAGAGTTCGTCGCGGCCACGCTAGCTGGAGATTTGTCTGTAAAAACTTGCGTTTGTGGTCACAGTGGTGCCTATGCTAACCTTCCTATGGTGTAGAAATATACCTAGTTGGACGAATCTTATTGTGGCTAGCTGGTACAGTGGCTAACACGACGGTCTGGAGTTTTGAGACTCTCTGACCGTGGGTTCAGTCCCGCCCGTGGTATGGTTTATAATTCATTACTGAAATCCACATAGTAGTATAGAAATAAGTTGTAAATTGTTACCCATAAAAGTCAATGTAGATGCGAGATATTTTTATGATAACATAGGATATGGCTCTGTGGCAGTGCAGTCATCTCATGCTGAGTGTTCATGGCTCAATCCCAGGAATGTGTGGAAACACTGGGCATGTTTCATTACTCCTGCAGCCCTTGTTTTCCTAGCAGTAAGTAGTAGGTACCTAGGTGTTAATCGACTGGTGTGGGTTGCATCCTGGGGACAAAATTACAGGACCCAGTGAAAATAAGGCAGTCCTTGATGATGCAGTGACTTTATTAGGTTATCTTGGGTGGCTAATCTTCCGGGTTAAAAAATTCAAAGAAATTTTAACTTATTCCTAAAGGACTCGGTTCCATCTATATCTCTACGTTGTATATGTCATATAGACATATACTATAAATTTTAAGATTAACTTAATATTCAAAGACAAATATGAAGTTAATCAAATGAAAGATTAGAAAGAGTTAAGTGTACAGTCACCAGTGTATTCCTATGAGAATTGTGCTGATTGTATGTGTTGTATAACTGTAAAATTGCCTGTAAATTCCTTTACAATTAATTAAATATTAACCCAGGCCATATAAAAACAATGCCTGCATTAATATTTACCTAAGAACATTAAAATAAATTAGTAATGTTTTGAACTTGAAATCTGTTGAACATCTTGTTGTAAAAAATATATGGATTTTTTTTTTTTTAATATAGGGTTCCTTTGGTGCACAAAAGATCTGTAAGTAGAGTTCTGGAACAAAATCCAGGAGAGGGCCCTGAATGTTCTATAACCACTGCAATTTTTGTTAGCACTCTGTAGGAAATTAAACACTGAAGACAACCCTACTCTGCTTCAGTTACTACATAATTAGATTATCATATATTTTTTCCTTCCCTCTTCTCTTTTCCTCAAGTACTGTACATGCTGAAATTGCATTTCAGTTTAATGTTGCAAGATAGTGCAGAACTACTATGATGGAGCTAAGTCATAGTCTGACCCTCAATGAGGAGGCACTCCAACAACTGCCACCTGCAAAACGGCCAATTTTCATATTTGAATGGCTTCGATTCTTGGACAAAGTGCTTGAAGCTGCAAACAAGGTTAGAATTTGACTTTACTAAGTGTACCGTTTATTACCAGCCCTACGTCACATTTTTTCCCTAAATGAATGTGCCTAGAGTTATACCCCATATCTTATAAGAACATACTACTACAAAAAATTATGTAAAAATAATTAGCGTAATGAAAAAGGTAAGTAAGAGCATAAGAATAAAGGAGCACTGCATTATACCTGCTGGCCCATGCTAGTCAGGTCCTGAAGTCCCACCATTCTTACTGCAGTAGACCTATTGGCCCATGCTAGGCCTTACACCCAACCATTATATGACACAGATTAAAGGACCATTGAAGTAGGCCTACTGTCCTATGCTACACAGGTCCTAGTCACATCAAACCATTATACAGTGGACTCTTGGTTAACGTAATTAATCCGTTCCAGAGAGCGTGTCTTATACCAAATCTAACTTAATCTGAATTAATTTTCCCCATAAGAAATAATGGAAATCCAATTAATTTGTTCCAGACACCCAAAAGTATTAAACAAAATAACTTTTTACATGAAATATACATTTTCCTACACAGAAAATAATGAGACATGCAGAATAAACAATACTAAAATGACATTTACCTTTATTGAAGACTTACTGATGAGTGATGAGATGGGAGGAGGGGAGAGGATAGAGGTGTATTAGTGTTTGGAAGGGGAATCCCCTTCCATAAGGTCTTCAGGTACCAAATCCTTTTCCGGAGTTACATCCCTTCTTTGTTTTTTAATGCCACTAGCACCAGCTTGAGAGTCACTGGACCCCTGTCACACTAAAAATCTGTCCAGGGAGCTCTGTTTCTGGCGTCTCTTAAGATTTCCCTAAAATGGGGCACAACATTGTCATTGTAGATGTTGCCAGCACTGCTTGCAACAGCTGTGTCAGGGTGATGTCCTTAACCTTTGAAGAAGGCACCTTCTTCCATCTCTCTTCCTCCTCCTCTGAAGGAAATTCCTGAGCTGTGGTCTGTTGGTGTTGCACCTCAAGCTCTTGCATCTCTGTAGTGGTTAGCTCTTAATCATTGTCCTCCACCAACTCTTCCACATCCTTCAAACTCACATCCAACCCCATGGAATTCCCCAATGCCACAATAGATTCCACAACTGGCATAGGGTCCTCAGGGTCAACCCCAAACCCTTCAAAATCCCTCTCTTGTACACATTCTGGCCACAATTTTCTCCAAGCAGAGTTCAAAGTCCTGCAAGTCAATCCCTCCCAAGCCTTACCTATAAGGTTTATGCAAGTGAGGATACTGAAGTGATCTTTCCAGAACTCTTTTAGGGTCAGTTCAGTGTCTTAAGGTCACTTCAAAGCACTTTTGAAACTGCTTTGGTGTACAGTTTTTTGAAATTTGAAATGACCTGCTGGTCCATGGGCTGGAGGAGAGTAGTAGTATTAGGGGGCAAGAATTTAACTTTGATGAAGCTAAACTCTGACACCATTCACTCTTCCAAGTCTGGAGGATGAGCAGGAGCATTGTCCATTAACAGGAGGCAGTTGAGTTCCAATTTATTTTCCAGGAGGTATTTTTTCACACTGGGGCCAAGCACGTCAAGGAACCAGTCAAGGAAAATATCCCTTGTGACCCATGCCTTACTGTTTGCCCTCCACATCACACACAGTTTAGGCTTGACAACACTGCTTTTCTTGAACACTTTGGGATTTTCAGAGTGATACACGAGTAAAGGCTTCACTTTGCAATCACCACTAGCATTACTATAAAACATGAGAGTTAGCCTGTCTTTCATAGGCTGGTGTCCTGGGAGTGCCTTTTCCTCCTGAATAATGTAGGTCCTGTTTGGCATTTTCTTCCAAAACAGGCCTGTTTCATCACAATTGAACACTTGTTGGGGTTTTAATTTTTCAGCCTCTTATGTACCCCTTGAAGTCCCGAATATACTTTTCAGCCGCTTCTTTTTCAGACCTGGCAGCCTCACTATGCCTTGTCACTCTGGGTATGCCACTACGGTTCTTAAATCTCTCAAACCAACCTTTGCTGGCCTTAAATTCACCAATATGAGCACTAGTTCCATGCATTTTCTTAAGAAGATCATCATGCAACTGCCTTGCCTTTTCACATAATTGACTGCGAAACACTATCTCCTGATAATGGCTTCTCGTTGATCCACAACAACAACCTCTCCACATCTTCGAGTATTTGCGATCTCTGTTTTGTAAGCATATTTGCACCTTTCACAATAACAGCTTCCTTGATTGCCTTCTTCTTGCCCAAGATAGTAGCGATGGTTGTATGGGGTTTGTTATACACCCTGGCCAGCTCGGAGACACACTCTCCGCTTTCGTATTTTGCAATGATCTCTTTCTTGAATTGTATAGTGTTTCTCACCCTCTTTACCAAAGGGCTGGCACTAGAAGCTTTCTTTGGGCCCATGGTGGCTAAAAACAATGGAATACACCTACCATCCGACATATGACCTGTTCGACTTACGACCACTTGACTTACGACTGTGCTTTTTATGCCAAATTTCTGAGAAATAAACAACTATTTGTGTTGTACACAGTGTTTATCCTAAACCTTATAGTATAAAATACAGTACTAACAACATAAAAAGTAAAGTAAAACATGAAATACCAAAATAAAACAATAAAATAAAGTCATTACAAAAATGTTTTGTTGATATTCAGTAGTAAAGTTCAACTTACGACCGGTTTCTCAGAACTGAACTCGGTCGTAAGTTGGATGGTAGGTGTAATACAAAATGTATCACATGTTTACTGGCTTGTAAACAATGGCACACTGGCTGTACATGGCGCGGCTGGGCCGCTCGTGGCACGTGGACACGTTCGGGACGAATGACTTTAACTGAGTTCTGTGTCATTAACTGAGCCAATATTTTGACGCAAAAAATTACTTAATCCGATGACGTTGTAATCCAGGGGTCCACTGTATAGCAAAATACTAAAAGAGCACTTCAGTAGGCCTATTGGCCCATACTAGGCAAGTCCTATTCATATTCAACAATTTTCACTCATAAATTTATCCAACATATTTTTAAAGCTACATAAAGCTTTAGCTTCAGTGATAAAAGGCAAGCCAGTAGGCAAGCAGGCATATGAGAAAAATCTCCCTAGTATGGGCCAGTAGGCTTATGGCTGAGTTCATAGGATATGAATACACTTCACAGTATTAACTACTAATGGAAAAAAAAGATTTACTCCAATTGTTATGAGAGCCTGAAAATATACCACTGTACTATATGGCAGGGGTTGATTTTATTCAGGCCATCTGATGAATAAAAAGTAGACTTATGGCCTAGTGTGAACTCCAAGATAGTAATATATGGTATATTAAAATTTTCATTTATTTTTCATTACTGTTACATCAAGTAATAAAGCCTTTGCATAAACTATTTTTCATAGCTCAATTTTTTGCAAATACAGTTGGAAAAAGTACATCCAAAATTGAATGTCATGGACACATGAAAACAGAGCAATGTGCAAAAAATCAGCCTATGAACTTGTCGCCTAAAATCCACACTTATATTTTTCATGTATGTGTATGTACTGTATGTATACATGCATATGTAACCATGCATATGTATGTGTAATATATATCTGAATTTGTTTTTTCTGATAATTAAAACAGCATCATCAAATATTTTGTTTAACATTTTGTGGATTTGATGTAGAAGTAAGTTATGCACACTTTTTTTTTATTTTTTTTTTTTGAATTGCAGTACAATATATTGTCATAAAAGAATAATCTTTTATGTTTTTCATAATTAAACATTGCTTTTCCTTATAGTCAGACATCAAAGGATGTCAGAAACAGTTGGTAGCTCAGCTGGTGGGGCAGATGAATGAGTCTCCTGGACCACCAACACGGAAATTAGTGGCACGGTGCTTAGCAACTCTCTTTAGTGTTGGGGACACTTTCCTTCTGTTTGATACTATCAACAAATGCAATGATGTGCTCAAGAACAAAGATGACTCCCCAAGCTACCTGCCGACAAGACTGTAAGCTGTGTGTCTTGCATTGCTTTCATATTCCCAGTACAGTGGAACCTCAAATATCGAACTTTCTTCGGTCCAGAAGACTGTTCGAGTGCCACTACTGAACGAATTTATTCCCATCAGGAATAATGTAAATTAGATTAGACCATTTAAGACCCTCAAAAATACACTTATAAAAGCACTTACAAAAATACACTTACATAATTGATTGAGTTGGGAGCAGTTCGATTTTTGAGGTTCCACTGTATAATATTTAAATGTTAGTGTGTATAATGTGTAAGCAAAGGGTTGAAAGCTTGTTTGTTGCAGTAGTACAGTATTGCAGCAAATGGGGTTACACTAGAGTTTTGAGTAGTTTTTGCTATGTTGAGAATAATAGATATTGTATATATAAATTTATTGTACACTATGTTTGACTTTTAAAGTAGTCAGTTAATTCCAGTGTAATATTCCTTCATTTTTTCTTTAAATTTTTTTTTTTATATACAGGTCGGCTGTCTCCCACTGAAGCAGGGTGAGCCAAAAAGAAAGAAAAAATCCCCCAAAAGAAAATACTTTCATCATCATTCAACACTTTCAACTCACACATAATCACTGTTTTTGCAGAGGTGCTCAGAACACAACAGTTTAGAAGCATATACGTATAAAGATACACAACATATCCCTCCAAACTGCCAATATCCCAAACCCCTCCTTTAAAGTGCAGGCATTGTACTTCCCACTTCCAGGACTCAAGTCCAGTTATATAAAAATAACCGGTTCTTTCAATAATAACCCTACCGTACACTTTTCCTGGTATACTCAGTAAACTAATTCCTCTATAATTTTTGCAGTATGAAAGACATAATCCTAGGTAGTAGGTTGGTAGACAGCAACCGCCCAGGGAGGTACTACCATCCTGCCAAGCAAGTGTAAAACGGAAACCTGTAATTGTTTTACATGATGGTATGATTGCTGGTGTCTTTTTTCTGTCTCGTAAACATGCAAGATTTCAGGTATGTCTTGCTATTTCTACTTACACTTAGGTCACACTACACATACCTATACAAGTACAGTATATGTATACACACATCCCTCTAGGTTTTCTTCTATTTTCTTTCTAGTTCTTGTTTTTGTTTATTTCCTCTTATCTCCATGGGGAAGTGGAACAGAACTCTTCCTCCGTAAGCCATGCATGTTGTAAGAGGCGACTAAAATGCCAGGAGCAAGGGCCTAGTAACCCCTTCTCCTGTGTAAATTACTAAATTGAAAAAGAGAAACTTTTTTCCTTTTTGGGCCACCATGCCTCGGTGGGATACGGCTGGTTTGTTGAAAGAAAGAAAGAAAGACGTAATTTTTGTCTTCAAAGAAAGTTATCATTTTAGTCAAAAGTTTGCTGCTTAATTTTCTCAGAATTTGAAGTATTTATTAGTATTGCTTATCTTCTATTGTATTCACAGTGCTGCAGTTACATGTATTGGAGCAATGTATGAAAAACTTGGACGCATGATGGGACGCTCTTACGAAGAGACTGTGCAGATCTTAATCAAGGCTTTACGGAATGCAGAATCTCAGCTGAGAATTGAAATAATGATGACCCTGGAGAAGATAACTGCTGGCATGGGGTCAGCTGCAGGAAATGTACACAAGGATATATATAAGGCGGCCAAGATGGGGCTTACAGATCGTGCTTTGCCTGTGAGATGTGCATCTGCGCTTGTAAGGGCTCTTATGTTTGTGTAAAGCTAATGATTACGTATTATGTATTTGAAAATCAACTTTTTAACCCACAGCCTCTCTTTAATTTTGGATATATATTATGAGACGGACAAAAGAATTCATTGTGTTTCATTATTACATGCAGTACTGTCTATATACAGTAATATAGTATTGTATGTATGTTTTTTCAGTTATTAATCAAATCTTGGAGGAAATACTTACATTAGATAAAAATGTCCATATACTTCACATGGTCATTTTCTCTCATATTTCTATTAATATGAGCAGTTTAGTAGAGTATACAGTGGACCCCCGGTTTACGATATTATTTCATTCCAGAAGTATATTCAGGTGCCATTACTGAACAAATTTGTTCCCAGTAGGAATATTGTGAATTAGATTAGTCCATTTCAGACCCCCAAACATACACGTACAAACGCACTTACATAAATACACTTACATAATTGGTCGCATTGGGAGCTGATCATAAAGCGGGGGTCCACTGTATTGTACTTTACCCTTTGAGGGTCTGTCCTGTAATTCTGCGCCTTGTCCACAGGGTCCAAGAATTTAAAAAAAAAAAAAAAAAGGATTTTTTCTTATGAAATGGTAGAAAATCTTTTTTCTGAAGATAATTAAACAAAAGTACAAAATTTGATGAAAAATTGACGAAATTATGCTATTGCGAATTTTGTTTACTGTTGGTGATATTTACACATCAGCGATTTTTGCCTACTTTGACTCTTATAATTGAGGCCAATTACATTATTCCAGTCGACCAAATTCTTAGCTATTTCGTTAGTATCACATATATTTTATGGATTAAGTACAAGAAACTGCCCACTCATCTATTTCAACTACCCAATAAAGTGATCAGAAATTGGTAATTTGGCCAGTTTCACACGAAGTCAAAAATATTCCAATTTCAAAATAGGACCCAGAATGAACAGTGCAGGCATTCCTGGCACTAAAATTGCATTTCCTCTATTTATTAGTTGCATTTCCAGGCTTTACACATGAATTCCATTTTCATTTTTTTTTCACATAAAACATTTTTATTCACACCAAAAAGTAGAAGATTTACTGTTATGCAATATTGTATAAATAATATCACCGCATTTGTGAACGCACATTAAACCCCCAACTGAGAGAGAGAATGAGAGAGAGAGAATGAGAGAGAGAGAATGAGAGAGAGAGAATGAGAGAGAGAGAATGAGAGAGAGAGAGAGAATGAGAGAGAGAGAGAGAATGAGAGAGAGAGAGAGAATGAGAGGGAGAGAGAGAAGAGAATGAGAGAGAGAGAGAATGAGACAGAATGAGAGAGAGAGAGAATGAGAGAGAGAGAGAATGAGAGAGAGAGAGAATGAGAGAGAGAGAGAATGAGAGAGAGAGAGAATGAGAGAGAGAGAGAATGAGAGAGAGAGAGAATGAGAGAGAGAGAGAATGAGAGAGAGAGAGAGAATGAGTACATGAGAGAGGACACTTGCAGAGTTCTGTAAAGAAACCAGGCGAATGCAAGTTTTGTAAACAAACCAAGCAAAAATGTCTGGCTTGTGTACAAGTTACATTGTGTACAAGTTATCTCTACGTTGATACGGTAGAATAAATAAAGAGGAACACTCCCATTCTCATGTAACACCATTTTTTAGAAGAAATGACGCTCTGAAGGCATATGAAAGGAATAATTTTCTACAGTTACCCCTGGTTATTTTTATATAGCCGGACTTGAGTCTTGGAAATGGGAAGTACAATGCCTGCACTTTAAAGGAGGGGTTTGGGATATTGGCAGTTTGGAGGGGTATGTTGTGTATCTTTATATGTATATGCTTCTTAACTGTTGTATTCTGAGCTCCTCTGAGTGAGTGAGGTGAAAGTATTGAATGATGATGAAAGTATTTTCTTTTTGGGTCACCCTGCCTCGGTGGGAGATGGCCGACTTGTTAAAAAAAAAAAAAAAAAAAAATACAACCAGTAATACGTTTTCTCTTATGTTGGACTAGAGTAACACGTTTTCTCTTATGTTGGACTAGAGTAACACGTTTTCTCTTATGTTGGACTAGAGTAACACGTTTTCTCTTATGTTGGACTAGAGTAACACGTTTTCTCTTATGTTGGACTAGAGTATCACGTTTTCTCTTATGTTGGACTAGAGAAAACGTTATTCTTGCCATCACTTGTACAAGTTGTCTGGCTACCACATTTCATATTTGTTTTTTTATTCTACTGTAGGGTGTATTTAACATCTTTATATGTTATGTATCATGTTTTATATAATTTTGAAAAAATATCATAGATGGATTAATGAAAATGTTTATATTAACCCTTTCAGGGTCCAAGGCCCAAATCTGGAGTCACGCACCAGTGTCCAAGAATTTTCAAAAAAAAAATTTGTTATTTTTTCTTATGAAATCGTAGAGAATCTTTTTGTGAAGGTAATAAAACAAAAAGTACGAAATTTGGTGGAAAATTGACGAAATTATGCTCTCGCAATTTTGATGTGTCAGCGAATTTTCGAATCAACGATTTGCCGACTTTGACTCCCATTTTTAGGCCAATTTCCTTATTCCAATCAACCAATTCTTAGCTATTTCCTATATTTACTTCTATTCTATCGATTGAGCACAAGAAATCGCCAAGTCAACTTTTAAAACTAAAAAATAAAGTGATCGGAAATTGTTAATTTGGCCAATTTAAACAAAGTTCAAAATTCAGTTTAAAAAAATAGGGTCCAGAAAAAACAATGTAGCATTCCGGGCACTAAACTAACATTTCCTCTTTCATTACTTATTTTTGAGGCTTTACAAATAAATTTCCATTTTTTGTTTTTTAAATTCACATAATAAATTTTTTATCACACCAAAAAATAGAAGATTTACTTTTATTCAATACTGAAATTAATTGTATAAAAATCATCACCATATTTGTGATTGAATATTAGCCCACCGCTGACTGTATTAGATGTGTGAGTCGTTTGTTTACTCTTGAATATCGGCAAAAATTTAACATTCCGCTACTTTGAGCTAAAGTTTCAAGCCATTTCCATGCAAAAAACCAATCAAAATCATCTCTATTTCTGTATATGTCTTCCATTTATCAAATAGACAAGAAATCGAAAACAACTATAAAAAACATACGAAAAAACACGCAAATTTTCTGTTTCAATCGAAAAAATCATGATTTCTTTTTTTTCTCTCATTATACACAGTGGCTGCGGGATCTTTTTTTATGTGGTGCCACATACCACTATATGTTTTCCCTCTCAATCTAGCCCAAATGTACCATTTCCACATTTATCAAGTGGCTGACTCATGGCGTAGATCTTATGGTTTGGACACTCACCATAAAGCGTAGATCACGGGACGGACCCTGAAAGGGTTAATGTAATATACGACATTTAATGAGACTCAGTGATTATTATTGAGTATTATTATTATTACTAATATGGCATCACTTGTACAAGTCGTCTGGATACCACATCTTGTATTTGTATATTCTACTGTGGGTGTATTTACCATCTTAATATGCTATATATACTAGTGTGTATTATATAATTTTGAAAAATATCATAGATGGATTAATGAAAATGTGTATACAGTGGTCCCTCAATTATCGTCCTTAATCCGTTCCTGGAAGTGGGACTATTATCGAAATAGACGATTTTCGAATCAATTTTCCCCATAAGAAATAATGTAAATCCAATTAATTCGTTCCAGACACCCAGAAGTATCGACAACAATTTTTTTTTTTACCTAAAAGATAGATTTACATGCACAAAAGAATGAACATTCAACATGACAGTTACCTTTATTGAAGGCTGTTGTTGATGAATGGAAGACAGGGAGGAGGAGGAGAGAGAGAGAGAGAGAGAGAGAGAGAAAAGAGGTTATTGTTTGGAAGGGGAATCCCCCTCCATAAGGACTTTAGGTCACTTCAGGGGTCACTTCCCAAGCATAAATATAGATTTACATGCAGAAAAAAATGCCAAATAAATGTAAAGCACTAATAAAATGTATAAATAAACATTGGTAATAGGGGTAGTTGATGAGTGGAACAGTCTGCCTAGTAGAGTGATTGAAGCTAAAACATTGAGTAGTTTCAAATTTAGGTTGGATAAATACACGAGTGAGACGGGTTGGATTTGAGCCGGACTTGCACCTGAGCTTATTGCTTGGGTAGCATTTGTTTTGTTAGTGGGTTGGATTTGTGAAGGACCAGCCTAGTATGGGCCAACAGGCTTATTGCAGTATTCCTTCTTTCTTACATTCTATGGCTTGGGTAATTTCAAATTTAGGTTGGATAAATACACGAGTGAGACGGGTTGGATTTGAGTCGGACTTGCACCTGAGCTTATTGCTTGGGTAGCATTTGTTCTGTTAGTGAGTTGGATTTGTGAAGGACCAGCCTAGTATGGGCCAACAGGCTTATTGCAGTGTTCCTACTTTCTTAAGTTCTTATATAACATCACACTTACCAGTAGGGTGATCGAGGCTAGGGCCTTGGGTAGGTTTAAGAGGAGAGTGGACAAATATGTGAGTGGGAGGAGCTGAGTTTGATTTGTCATTGGGTACGGGAGTAAATTCTTGGGTAGCCTTGGGTAGAGGTCATTTTGATAAGGACCTGCCTTGTATGGGCCAGTAGACCTGCAGTGTTCTTCCATAGTTATGTTCTTTGTGGGAAGGATTGTAAAGGACCTGCCTAGTATGGGCCAACAGGCCTACTGCAGTGTTCCTCCTTTCTTATGTTCTTATTGGAGACTTGTTTGTGTGAGGGAGGGATGGCAAGTTTATTGTTGGAGAATATGACACTAATATCAACTCTACAGCTTATTTATCTATCACAATTCAACTAATATGACATAATAAACAATATTAATAACATAGAAACATGGAATATACTCTAGAATGAATGAAGTAAGTCATTACGTATGTCACGAGAAGTGTTGTGTTGTGTTGGTGGGTATATAAGGGCCACTGAGAGTAAGCCGTCCATAATGGTGGTGA